GCCTTAAAGAGCATTTGAGAATCGAATATCTTCATTTGCCATAATCGAGGTCAATTTGTGTTCATGCTCTGTTAACACATTGCCTAACAGCGATTCATGCTTTGTTAATGCATTGATGTGTTTGGCTAAGATGTTGACATCCTTAGATGTTGCAGTGCCAGTGCCAAACAAATTTGGCCAATGAAGCCTAATAGTGCCCGCGTGGACTTTTGTCCTTTTGGGAACGATGAGATGGGTAGTATTTGGTTTATCTGGAGTACTGTTTCGTTCAACATTATTGAACATCTCATCTTTATGGAAATGAGTTGTGAGCGAATCAATTTAACAAGATGACAAGTTGTATTGTCATTTTGACATCCACTGATTGACGTAACATGAAATGTTGACGGGATGTCGAGTTGATACGAATGATGCCAGTTTTAACTGGCAAATTGAATTTGAGCAGTGGGTTTGAAAATAACACCATAGTTGACGCTGTATGATATCATCGGAAGCCAGAGTAGAAGGAGTAAGCAAAAGAAAAGGTTCCAGATCTTCAGATTACCTTTGGAAAAAGATAAAAGAAATACGTCTGGTGTGACGTAGAGCGACCGTTTCTGTCTCCAACACTATCAATAACACCTACGTGTTACGGCTGAAGCCTATCTCATCCCATTGTTAAATTACAGTTGTTAGTGAGAAGCTAGATTTTTAGTAAGAAGCTTGAACTGAGAGTTTGAAAGGCTCAGTGAGAAAGATGTGCTGCCTATACCCTACTGAAGAACGTCTTCGTTCGCTTCCTTCGACCATTTGCATTGTATTTTGCATTGAACGGGTTTCTGTGCTCAATGTCAATGTTATCTTCTGGTTCCCATGTTGGTTGTGATCTGATCCATTCAACAAGGTATTCGGTTTTATTGTTTTTCCTTCTTCTCTTCAACAGCTTTGTGAAGTTGAAGGTTAGGTTTGACGGCTTACTTTGATCTGATTGATCCGTTGGATCACTGGGGTCACCTTGATTTGACTGATCGTTTGGACCACTGGTTTCTATCAGGGGTGAACCATTTTGGATTCCATCCTGCTGCTGTCCTGTTTGCCTCTTAGGCACCAATGCTTGCTGATGCTGAAGGATCTGATGTTTTTTGGGGTGGGGTAATTTCATCCGCTCGCTGTCCCTGATGATACATCTCCAGACCATTGTGATTTATCAGAAATTTCTATAATTTCATTGATGTACAATCTTGAAGTTTGTAGGTGTGTTTTGGTCCTACTTCCTGGATTGTAAAGGGTCCAATGCATTTCTTGTTCCGTTTACTACTGAGACATTTCTTGACAGCTGGAGAGTGAAGGTGGACAATGTCACCAACAATAAATTTAGGAATACTGGCTTTTTGCACAACTATAGGTGTTACAACGTGCTGATGACAGCATGGATGTCCAATATACAGTTGTCTCTTACTGAAATCTGTCCCACATGTCGTGCCATCATCGATTTTATGTACATTTCATCCAGCATGAACCAGTGAAGATCCGGGTTAGAATATTGATCCTCAGTAACCCATGCTTGTCGTAAGAGGCGACTAACGGGATCGGGTGGTCAGGCTCGCTGACTTGGTTGACACATGTCATCAGTTCCCATTTGCACAGGTCGATGCTCATGTTGTTGATCACTGGATTGTCTGGTCCAGACTCGATTATTTTCAGACCGCAGCCATAGAGCTGGAATATTTTGCTGAGTGTGGCGTAAACCTAAACTCACTCATCCAGCATGGCTGCGCCGGGAGCAGCTGAAACGGCGACAGAAATTGTCGGTAACGGTGACAATAATTTTGGCTATAACGACACATATATCTTTTTCAATATGAAAATAATAACTTATATTTGTTTACGTTTTTGATGTATATAGTAGGTTCACTGGTTTATTGTTGAGATTGTAAACACACAATAGCAAATTAACACTTCTTCATTTCATATTTCTTTCAGTTATAGTCACTAACATATGCATTGTCTTTTATACACATATATACAATATATACACGTCCTATTTTCCACTTCACTGGACTGGACCGTGGATCTATGCGCATGTTGTTAGGAGAGACATAAGACTGAGATCGCCATCTCGGTACTCCTTTCAGGCTTCAAAGATACACTTCTGGCTCTGTGTAGCTGTCCTCCTCAGGCGGGAAGTCAGAACACCGTTCTGCACTAGTCTCATCTGAAGGTTCACCATATCGGCCGGCTGGTATATACCTGGTATATAAACTGCCGCTTTATACACTACCAACGGTTTTCGATGAGATTGGTGCAGGCACTGGTGATGGGATCTGAAAGTAGTACAAAAGGAATTAATAACCATTATACGTTTCAACATGACAAAGGAACTTAAAATACGTAAAGATCATCAATACCAAGAAAACAATGAAATACCTTTGAAATTTTCTGTGTGATTGACATTCGAATGAACATAAACCCAGGCCAACAAGTCCTTCGTAACCTTTCCCACAGTCCGTAATAATATGACTACCTCGTGCTACATTGTCCGTAATTATTCTCTCAAGCGTCTGTCGATCACGCTTGTCCACTGGCACCAAAACAAAAGTCCCTACTCTCCCTGCAAATTCCACCCAAAACCCACTGGCCCTCGACTACTCTTCCACAATGATACTTACGTTTACCAAACGTCATGCCAGGACCCCCTATCATGTACGAATTTTCCCTTTCCACTACTGAAGAGCATACCTCCCTACAGTACATGAAATAGTCCGATACAGTTTCTCTAGATGTTTCCAGGACTCTCCCATCCTTATCACAATCAATACTGGTCTCTCTGATTGTGTGGCACCCGTGAAGAGCCACCTCCTCGTGGTGGGTGCTGGGTATCGATAAGAGCTCTTCAATCCTCCGTTGTGGACCCGGGGGTATATTTGGTCCACCAGCTCGTTTGCCGTGGGTTGCACCCCTGTGTCGGTGGAGGAGGGGAGTCTGAGTTGAGGTCACTGGGAGCCTGGAACCGTGTTCCTTTTGCCAAACACACCACTTCGCCCCTTACTTCACCTAGACGGGTGGTAGAACTGGCCCGGTTCTATCAATCGGCTGGTCACGCCAAGCCCTGTGCATGGCGAATACTTTTGCACATATTACTATGATTATTTGGTCTTGGCTTTTTCGGCTTTCAATGTACAAATTCTTGATATATTAATTTGCCTAGAGTCCAATGCTAGAAAGCGGTGGCTCATGGGCCAATCTGGCCATATAGACCTCTGAATTCTGTGTTTCTCCGGAAAGGTGTCAAGGGCGAACCAGCCTGGCATTTCTTCTGTTTGATTCAACAGCTTTTCAAGTATTTATTGGCTGGAGTATAAGATACCTGTAACCCTAGTGGAACAGACTGGTTTCCGCTGTAACACCGTCCTTGTTGACACTCCATGGTGGGTGGGGAGCAGGGATGTCGAACACTTTTCCTACACAATGGCTAATTCTATTCCTTCTGGTTCATCAAAGCATAAACGCTGGTATGTTGAATCTTCATCCAAATCAAGACCTCCAATTGAACCTCCATGAGCCGCTTAAGCAACATCATCCAGTGGAATTGTAGAGGACTAAAGAATAAATTAAATGATTTACAGTTACTGATACAGGACTTCAAACCATCGGCATTTTGTTTGCAAGAAACCTATTTTAAAGGCACTGATCTTATTGATATAAGACAATATAAATCTTATAATTGTTTTTCTTCTCCAGGACCTAGAGCTACTGGGGGTTCTTCAATTCTGGTGAGGCGGGGTGTTATACATAGCCCTGTCCCCTTGAGTAAAACACTTCAAGCTGTTGCTGTCAGGCTGACTTTGAACATTGTTTTCACCTTATGCTCGCTTTATGTATCACCATCGTCTACTCTTCAACAGGCAGATCTTCAGGCTCTTTATGACCAGCTTCCCAAGCCATGTATCATTATGGGTGATTTTAACGGCCATAATCCGCTTTGGGGTAGTTCTAATACAAACAGAAATGGGAAGATAGACTAAACACAACAGACAGCTTAAGAAAATCCGACGACAAAACATCAGTTATTAAGAAAGTTATATGTGACGTCAAACTAAATATCCCGCTAAACATAACATAAAATGTGCTATGCTGACACAAAATAGCCGTGATCACACTTCCGAAGAACAGATGGCTGGAGGAGCTGTGGCGAGCTGGAGGGCGGTGGTTCGATTTTCAGGTAAAACTGTGAAAATGTACAAAATAGTTAGTTAAGGGGAGGTAACTCGACTGAAGATGCATGTTGATAGATGGCAGCTAAAACCGGAAGTTGTGTCTCGAGACAGGCGACGGAGAGAGATAAGAAGAGAAAAGTAAACAAATCATACAAGGTAACATATTTGTTCTACTTGCCCCCCCTTGCTTCGTAAGCGTCGATGCATGGGGCGATCAAGGGTTCTGTAGGTTCTGCGAAGTGTGTCCGTAGTCGTCAGTGTCTCGTCTTGATCTGTCACTTGTCACCTGTCAGATTTGACGGGTAAGTTGATCACATGACCCGATCACACCTGGAAACATGCGAGTATCACTGGATGGCCAATGCGATGAAACCTGATGAACGAGTGCGGAAGCACCGATCACTACATTCCTCCCTTTTTTCTGGACTTGCACCCTCGCTAGGAATACGGTGAGTCTGTCTGGCTAAGGGAGGATCCAACAGGTGACATCACCAGGAAATGAGAAAATCCCTGCAGGGTTGGGCAGCAGTGTTGTGCTATCAACTGAGACAGTTCAAATAACTCATGATTATTTTAGATTACATATCTAAATAAGAAAATCCCCAACCGAGTCGGTTCGCATAACTTACTAGATGAATTAATTAGTCTAACAGTCCTAGAATCTAAACCGTATCGATGGACTCATTTTCAGTCCTGATCAAATCAGATAAGAATGATCTTTTTATGGGGATCCGGGAATCTAGACCGGATATGTGGACTCAGTTCCAGTCAGATTAAGGAATCCCATTTCTCCGAGTGTTCATTTTACACGCTGTAGAGTTGCCTAGCATTGATGTAGGTGCGCTCCAGGACATTGGCTGTGGTACTTTGTCGAGCATCAGCCACCACAGTTGCAACTTCGCCGAGTAGTCTTGGCCTGTTAATCCCTCTGCGACCTGGGCGAGGCCACAGGTAGGGGGCATCAGTTTCCAGAACAAACCGTTTCGCATTAAGGGACCGCAGACCCGAAAGCTGGTGTTCATCAAAACTAGCGACCATTCCTGTGTACCCAAACCACGTCTCCGGGAAGGTCTGTGTCCAATGGGTCAATTCTTTAAAGGATCCCGAAAAACAGTGTAGATGGAACTTTTGATGAGGAGGTATTCCAGCTACATGGGCAATCTTAATGCACTCCTCAAGTGGAGCCCTTTGGTACTTGTCTTCTGCTGTTCTCCGGAGGTGGAGGATAATAGGTTTGTTAGGGTCTGCAAGCCTGAAAGGTTCATCTAAAACTTTGCCCTCCCGTTCCCAGTTCCCTACTGTGCAGTCAAATCCCACTTCCCCAAGGGCGATCACATTGGGTGAGGACAGCAGACTCTGAAGTTTGTCCAGTTGGTTAGAATGATCAGAACTCACATTTTGGGATGCAATTTAACGGCGATCTTTCAATATTGATGGAAGGTTGGATCTTGTGGCCAAGTTGGGGATCACAAAACACCTGGACTGCTCTTACTAAACCAGAGGAGGAACCATCTTGCGGCTGGCCTGCTTGATCCAGAACTTCCTCCAGGGGTGTGGCAGCGTCCAGGTGGAGCCTGCTGCTCATTCTGTCCGGATGAAAGTGAGTGTCAAACCCCCGGGAAGTACCTCTGGAGTTGATGGCTTGTGCCTGGATTGTATTGACTGTGGAGTTAGAGGTGTCAGCATCTCAGAAGTCTGTACTGATTGGGTGGCGGCTTGTACAACATGAGATGGACTGGCCAGTGGCAGGATGGTCCCAAACTTTTTGAAATGGATCCTGACCATCTCGGATGTAATGTTTAATAAGAACGCCAAGATCCTCCAATGAATGAGGCACGCTGGGCTCTCCAGGGACAGGTTGATAGGGTCTAGAGGTAGTGGCCAACCTTTCATCTGGCACATCTGGGAAATGTGCCCGACGCAGCTTCCCCTGAGTGGTATATCCTGAGGAACAAGGCTATTCCTTAGGATGAAACTGATGTAATTCCGTCCAGGCAGCCCCTGCTCCCACGATTTGTCGAGCAAGATCTTCTATTGCAGACATCATGTGGGATGCTGTTTCTGCAGATGCCGGTAGCGAGTCACGGAGACAGTGTGGGAGATGAGCTCGGTACACATGGTGGCGTAATGTTCTAGACCGCATTCCACAAGACTGGATTGGGCAGATGGATCCCAAGCCTCGAGGGTGGTTGCTCTGGAAACGAGCGGAGATTTTCTGGGTTCCCTTGTTCGTTACTGAGACGCTGATTCCTCGGCTGTGATGAATTTGTTTACGGCCGAAACGTGATAAATATAAAAAGAGCATTGGGGTTTTACTCTATTAGACAATGAAAAAGCTTAAACGCTCCATACAGCGAGTTTTGCTCTATATCAGGACATCACGTGACCCATTCATCAGTCCTTTCCCATTGTCGTGTGACATATTCATTTTGTCACAGATTTCACAAATAGGCCTAATCCTGTTCACAACACCATTGTTGTGAAAGCCTGTGATAGGGAAAGGCGATTACTTTGCTTCGCAAGCGTCGATGCATGGGGAGATCAAGGGTTTCTATAGGTTCTGTGAAGTTTGTCCGTAGTCGTCAGTGTCTCGTCTTGATCTGTCACTTGTCACCTGTTAGATTTGGCGGGTAAGTTGATCATGTGCCCCGATCACACCCGGAAACATGCGAGTATCACTGGATGGCCAAGCCGATGAAACCTGATGTATGCGTGCGAAATCACCGATCACTACAACGTATTTGAGGAGGGGGTTACGGGCGGAACTTTTTCCCGTATTTGTCTTACCGTTCACCTCAATTGTAATTTTGAACAGTTTGAATCACGGGTATCGGATCATAGTGTGGAGTACCAGACGACCAGACGACAAGAAAAACATAAATCGATTTGCATTCGCAAATCATCGGTAATTTCCGTACGTCATACGTGATTCAATGTTATTCGAGATAAAGAATTACTACTACGAAGTACCAAATGAGTTCGGCATTCCCAGCGGGGTACATAGAAAATGTAACTCGCTTGTAAGCGGGGTACATTGAAAATAATAGAACAGCACTCAGCCAATCGGAAAACGACATTTATGTTTGAGGCAAGATAACTACGCTTGCCTGTCCGCACTTGTTGCACGTGAAGGTGGAATCTTCACAAATACCGGTTACACATGCTCGATGAGTCCGATCTTCGCATATGCCACAACTGATAGTATCTTGATTGCCTGCAACTGTCCTTCTACAAACAACACACTTAGGTCTGGTCATGTTGAAATGGGCCCAACACCGTCTTGTCATATTCTTAAATATTCTGTTATGAACAACCCCACTCTTTTCACTGTCCTTCGTTGACAGGTTTTTACAATTTACCATTAATTACTATGTATCAAATTAATTGTTCTGGAAATATTGCTGATGTGACGATAAATTGTAACTCACTCAATCACTCAAAACTGCGCATGGTCCCCTCGCGTACATTGCACAGGCGGATTAAGGGGAGGTAACCGATGCCTGACCTACTGATCAATCGGAACATCGTGTTACTGCTGTCTGTTTGAATGGTGAGAACATATCACGTTATCTCACGGGTATTTTCAATATGTCTACATTCTTCAAACTGCTCGTAAAAAAACAAACCAAAAAACACATCGACGCACACAGTTCTGAAAACCTGTTAAAAACGTCTTTTAAAATAATATGAACATCACAAAACAAACGAAGCCTTTGTCTAATATATTTTTGCTATCGAATGATGTACAGTAATGAAAAACATAATTACATCTAATGTTGAAGAGCATGTAGAGATACCCGATGTGCCACATACCCCAAACATATTTAAAGACATACTATTTATAGAAAGGTTCCATGATATTCACAACGCATGACAACATGCAGGGATGCTCATACTCCAACATCTGCATCCAACGGGTGATACAGGCAGGAAGATGCACTGCTCTGAACAAAAGTGGATAACAGGAGATCTGACAGTGAATGAGTTTAGTTTTACGTCGCTTTTAGCAACATTCCATATATATCACCGCGGGGGACACGAGAAACGGGCTTCACACATTGTACCATGTACCTCACCGCCCGGGAAATCTTAGAACATGATATTTTTGTAGATGTGATCAAAAAATATTGTTATATATTTTTTACACTTTTGTTGCATCATTACCGGGTTGCAAATGTTTAGTCTACATTTTACATGTAAAATTACATTCGGGTTAGAATTGGTCCACAATCCATGCTTGTCGTAAGAGGCGACTAACGTTCGCGGACTTGTGCTGATCGATGATCCCAGTTGCGCCGATCGATGTTCATGCTGTTGATCACGGGATTGTCTGATTCAGACTTGATTATTGACACACCACCGCCATATAGCTGGAATATTGCCTGAGTGCGGCGAAAAACTAAACTCACTCACTAACAAACTAAAACTTTCAGTAAGATATATTGCCTTGTGAAATACAGACAGACAGACAAATGTATTCTGCAAAAAAGATCCTAGGCCCATAATACATGATAAATTACAAACATATTATCCTGCATGCATTAAGTTTAAGTTTTGAGGATGATTTTATGGTGAATACTTTAGATAGATAGAGTCCAAGTTTATATGATACATCTTTGTCAGTAGATTCCATCAAGTGTATGAAGTTAGTAGTTGTTGGGTAGTCTGTAAATCGAGCTGGTTGATATTTTCTTCTTAGATGAGAGAATTTTTAAAATTCAGAAGTACACTTTAGCTTCCTGCTGAGGCAATAAGGACTTATTCTCCGTTACGACTTGCCTGAAATCGATAATTGAAACACTTGCTATATACGGAATGTAAACGATTGCACCGTACATCGAACACTGTCACACGCGGTGTTGTGGGTGTTTGCCGAATTGGCCTCAATCACAAGTTGCGTTATAGGATATTCGTAAAGAGCGCTTCAAGGGACATAACTCTATGAGTTCGCTTGAAAATATGTTCGGCCGGTAGAGGGCGTGAGAGTCGAATTAATGCAACATTGCAGGGCTTCCCTGAGGGCTGATAGTCTTTTTGAGAGAAATGCATTATGTATTTTTAGAGAAATGTGGTGTGACATTGTGCCTTTAAAATAGCATTACATTGTCACGAGTTGTATCCATACGCCGTTTCAAAGAGTGAATTTACACAATCGCTTCACTGAGCTCTCCTGTGTCGTAGCTGGCACATGAACTAACTCAGAAAAAAATCAGATCAGATATAGCTATGTATTTCAAAAGGTTGCGTAATAATAGCTGGCACATTTCTATTTAACAAAAGAGCCTTTAGATAGCTCCATAACATTATTGCAATTTTATTATTGTGAAGAGAGACAACGTAACGCCTGAATACAACCACCAGACGTGTATTGACATTTGGACATTCAATACATTCAGTCTCTCTCTCTCTCTCTCTCTCTCTCTCTCTCTCTCTCTCTCTCTCTCTCTCTCTCTCTCTCTCTCTCTCTCTCTCTCTCTCTCTCTCTCTCTCTCTCTGCGCGTGTGTGTGAGAGAGAGGAGATCAAACCGTTAAATATTTCTTCACCAACATAGTATGGTGGGGTGAACTGGGTGCCTTTTGTTTTAGTTTGACTGGAATTGGCGGTAGTGCTCCATTCCTGAGCAGAACTTTAAGAACACTTAATACTCTCCGTCCACTTTGTGGGTATTCAAGAATCTAATGACATAAATCAACAGTACCACTCTATTTCTGTATCAACATTACTGAGGTACATCAAACTGTGGAAGCACTCAGGCAGTCTGTTGTTGATATAAGCATTCTAGTATATGAATAGTTTACATATGTATGTTTTTGTTAGATCAATGTGACAAAGTTGTAACTTCGAGGGAACAACAATAGTTGGAAGTATATGATGTAATAATTTATGCAGGAACTCTTCTAGTCTAGTGTCTCTCGTGTATCGAAAGGGAACCATATTGGGACCAGTTATCAAATTGGTTATGTTTAAAAATGTTTTGTTCCAATTTCGCGCAGTGTAAATTGTTTGTCGTGATGCTTGTTATTAGTTAATTGTAGAAACGTTTGGATCCTTTTACAAATATCAGAACATTTTGTAGAACTGGGTTTTGCAATTTTCAGTTTCAATTCATGACTTTAACATGATTTGTCCGGAAGTAATGTTTAATGGTGGCAATAAGGCCATTAGAAGTTAAAAAATTATTTTTTTCTCGAAAAGTGGGGAAACATCATCAACTTGAGGTATTGTCCTCCGTATCGATTAGATCGTTGATGACTCCCTTTTGATACCAGGTATTAAACAAGACAGGTTTACGTCCAATGCATATACAGTACAACCAGAAATTATTGAGGATTTGAAGATTGTAATTTTTTATTTTTTTTCACTTATTACTCACGTAGTAAATATGAATATTAGCAGAACATAACTCCAGATTCAAAGACAGGTGAACAGTTAGTATGTTGTCAAGTCACCATGGGCAGCAGTGCAGGCTTCAATGCGGCGGGACAAACTACTGATCAAAGAAGTTAGAAAGTCGTGGTCCATGCTGTCCCAATATCGGACCACCTCTTCTTTCATTTCAGCAATATTTGTCAGATTTTCCTTCA